TCTCTCTCAAAAATAAATAAATATTTTAAAAAATGACTCCTGCCTAATAGGGTTTTTGTGAAGAAAAAAATGCATATAATTACTATTTCTAAGACACTTAAGAAGTATCATAAGTATCACTTTTCCCCTTGTAGGATTTGTTCTTTCTTCCTAAAGTCTTGCACCATTTTCTATTACTGATTAGAGTTCAGAGATTTTATCATAACATACTAAGTATGTTTTTCCTCATTTCTCAAACCTAGAATTTGGCAAGATATTAGAATCTAGAAGCTAATTTTTTTCTCCATCAAATAGAAAGCAACTTCCATATTTGTTTAATTATTGTCTTTCTTTCTCTTCTTCTAGAATTCTCATTACTCACATATACCTAACTGCTTCCCTCAGATTCCCATCTCTTTATATTTTTACTCTGCCTTATAGATATGTCTTGGTGTTGATTCTCTTTGCCTATTTCAGATTTCAATGCATCCTCTTTCCAAATTCCTTTAATAAATTATTTATTTGAATTTTTGCCACAGAAAGCTTCATTTATGCTGCATATTCATTTCCTTGGGCATTCTTCTTATTTTTGAATTCAGGATTTCCTTTGACTTTCCCGAAAAGCTCTATTACACTGATTATTCTGCCTGATCTTTCCCTCTCTGGCCTCTTGCATCCCCTGCCCCCAACCTCAACATAAAATGTTATTTTTCTTTTGGTTCAAAGGGACTCAATTCTAGTTGTTAGAGAATGCTGCAGAAGAAAGGCTAAGCTCTGTCCTAGGCAGAGAAGCAGGCAGACTGCCATTGCCCAACTAAGTACCTCAAGGAAGCTTCTGTGTGATCTGTGCCTGCCAAATCCTCCAGCATCAAGGTCAGGGAAGACTCAGTCAACCCATAAAACTCCTTCACTTTTTGGAAGCTAAGCAGACTGGATTTACTCCTGATGAGGCTGTAATGACCCTGTCCCTCAGCAATCCAAAGTGTCCCCTGAATTCACTGCTTTCTGGTCCTCAGCTGCCCACTCATTCATTAGGCCCCCCTCCCTACCTGCACTCATCTCTAAGAATTTGGTTCAGGAGAAGCCCATAGAATGGAATTGCGAGTGGAAGTTAAAGAAAAGATGTTCTGGTCACCCTGTTCCCAATATCTTCTTACGCAATTTATAAAACTAAAAGAAAAAAGGTTGGAAAAAAATCACAAAAGTGTGCAAGATATCATTTTTGTGGGTAGACATTATTATTTCTATAATTTCCAAATTTTGTAAAACAAATATTTGTCATTTAATAAGCAAGAGAGTTACATGTTATATTCATCTTAAAGCCAACTGTTGGTCGTTCTTATGCCATTTTAAAAGTCTAAGCTTTATTAATAATATATTTATTAATGATAATATAATTGAAATAATACATAATAATATAATTATTTTTAATAACAATATAAATTCTAGCTAGTTAACATGCAGTGTAATATTAGTTTTAAGTGTACAATGCAGTGCCTCAACAGTTTCATACATCACCAGGTGCTCATCACAAGTGCCCTCCTTAATCCCCATCACCTATTTCTCACCCACCCCTCTACTCACCTTTCCTCTGGAAACCATCAGTTTGCTCTCTATAATTAAGAATCTGTTTCTTGATTTGTCTCCTTTTATTTTTTTTCCTTTGCTAGTTTGTCTTGTTTCTCAAATTCTACATATGAATGAGGTTTTTTTGGTATTTGTCTTTCTGACTGACTTATTTCACTTAGCCTAATACTCTATAGTTCCATCCATGTCATTGTAAATGGCAAGATTTCATGCTTTTTATGGTTGAATAATATTTCATTGTATGTATACCACATCTTCTTTATCTATTCATCTATTGATGGGCACTTCCATAATTTGGCTACTATAAGCAATGGATCACTTTCATAATTAGCAATGAACATTTTTTACTTCAATAAATGAAATAATATATTGAAAAAAATGGCTAAAATCTACAATCAATCAATCCTAACAAACATTCCTAACATTTGTATGGAACCACAAAAGACCTCAAATATCCAAAGTAATATTGAAGAAAACCAAAATAGGAAGCATTACAAACCCAGACTTCAGCCTCTACTACAAACCTGTAATCAACAAGACAGTATGGTATTGGCACAAAAACAGACACATAGACCAATGGGATAGAATAGAGAATCCCGAATTGGACTCACAAATGTATGGCCAACTAATCTTTGACAAAGCAGGAAGGAATATCCAAAGGAAAAAAGACAGTCTCTGTAACAAATGGTGCTGGGAAAACTGGACAGCAACATGCAGAAGAATGAAACTAGACCACTTTCTTACATCATACACAAAAATAAACTCAAAATGGATGAAGGACTGAATGTGAGACAGGAAACCATCAAAACCCTAGAGGAGAAAGCAGGAAAACAACCTCTTTGACCTCAGCCACAGCAATTTCTTACTCGACACTTCTCCAAAGGCAAGAGAATTAAAAGCAAAAATGAACTATTGAGACCTCATCAAGATAAAAAACTTCTGCATGGCAAAGGAAACAATCAACAAAACTAAAAGGCAACCAATGGAATGGGGAAAGATATTTGCAAATGACGTATCGGATAAAAAGCTAGTATCCAAAATCGATAAAGAACTCACCAAACTCCACACTCGAAAAACAAATAATCCAATGAAGGAGGGCACTTTGGGGATGAGCACTGAGTGTTATGTAAAAACTAATTTGACAATAAACTACATGTAAAAAAAAAAAAAAAAAAAGAAAAACAAATAATCCAGTAAAGAAACAGGCAGAAGACATGAATAGACACTTCTCCAAAGAAGGCATCCAGATGGCCAACAGACACATGAAATGATGCTCAGCATCACTCCTCATCGGGGAAATACAAATCAAAACCACACAAAGATACCACTTCACGCTGGTCAGAGTAGCTAAAATGAACAACTCAGGAAACAATAGATGCTGGCAAGGATGTGGAGAAACAGGAACCCTCTTGCACCGCTGGTGAGAATGCAAACTGGTGCAGCCGCTCTGGAAAACAGTGTGGAGGTTCCTCAAAAAATTAAAAATAGGACTATCCTATGACCCAGCAATAGCACTGCTAGGAATTTACCCAAGGGATACAGGAGCACTGATGCATAGGGGCACATGTACCCCAAGGCTTATAGCAGCACTCTCAACAATAGCCAAATCATGGAAAGAACCTAAATGTCCAACAACTTACAAATGGATCAAGATGTGGTTTATATATACAATGGGATGCTACATGGCAATAAGAAAGAATGAAATCTGGCCATTTGCACCAACGTGGATGGAACTGGAGAACATTATGCTAAGTAAAATAAGTCAGTCAGAGAAAGACAGATACCATATGTTTTCACTCATATGTGGATCTTGAGAAACTTAATTGAAGACCATGGGGGATGGGAAGGGGAAAAAACAAGTTACAGAGAGGGAGGGAGGCAAACCATAAGAGACTCTTAAATACTGAGAACTGAGGGTTGATAGGGGGTGGGGGAGAGGGAAAGTGGGTGATGGGCATTGAGGAGGGCACTTGTTGGCAGGAGCACTGGGTGTTGTATGGAAATCAATTTGACAATAAATTATATTTTTAAAAAACTATCAAACTGAAAAGTGAAAATACAAAAACAAAAACGAAAACAAAGAAAAAATGGATAACCATAACGATACTGACCTCTCTATATCCTTAACATTGAACTTACCCCTTTCAATTAAAACCTCCAGATGCATGATTGAAAAATTGAAACAGTACAAAAGGTACACAGTGAAAATCAGGCTCATGTCCCAGAAGCTCCCGTCTCCCTCCCAAGTATTATAGTTTCTTGAGTGTCACTCCCCAAAAAATGTATATATCAATACAAGCATAAATGCACTTAAATATCCTATTAAAAAATGCAAGCATACATTACACAGTGTCTTGTACTTTACTCTTTTTTTCAAGCAACAATATATCTAGCCGCCCATTTCATATTTTTTAATTTTCTGTGCAGTGTTCCATTTCTACATAATCATTAAATGGGTTTCATATGTCACTGATCACCCATAAATAAAATTTTTTTTTAATAGATTCTGGACACCAGAGGATAATGTCTGAGCCTAAAAAGATGAATGGAAATTATCTTTCCATTTTATATTTAAATATAGTTTATATTTCATTGTAACTGAAATGGAAACCTGTCTACATAATGGGAGAATATTTATCAAGTTTTAGCAAAAGGACCATAGTCTAGAAGATCCTGGTTCATATAAGGTCCTAATTTATCTCATAATGGTATTGCTTCTGGAAGGCACTTGCCCAAAATATCAGGTCAGAGTCTGACCCTGGGCAACAGTGGAAAGAGAGGGGCTTTTGAATTAATCAGTGTCTTACTAGCTAAGACAAGTTATATTAATCCTTAAGTGCTTCAGTTTCCTCATCTGTAAGATGGAACTAATAATATCCCCTAACTTGCAAGAATGAAGTCAAAAAGATTAGAAATAGATTTTAAAAATTTAAGACAAAATTTTATTGGTTATTTACAAAGTTGTTTCTGATGTCTTTGTTAGAACTGAAACTGCAAAGACAGCATTACACAGGCCTGCATCATAGAAGTGGCCCCAACATTAAACCAGCTTCCTCCTTCCAAGTAGACATGTCTTCCCAGATGCTAACCCTTGGAACGTATACACAAAATATTTATTTCCATTCTATCACCTAGGTGTCCACCAAGGCTTTCCTGTCACTCCAGACCCTGCATTTGCAAATGCTGCCTCTGTACTTTATTCTCTTTGTAGCTTTTTCACTACTGAAATTATACTCTAAATATGTAAGTTAAATTACTCATTATTTGACCCTAACATTAAAAATACAAATTCCGAGGCACCTGGGTAGCTCAGTTGGTTAAGCATCCTACTTCAGCTCAGGTCTTGATCTTGTGGTTTGTGAGTTCAGGCTTGGACTCAGGGCTGATAGCTCAGAGCCTGCTGCTTCGGATTCTGTGTCTCCCTTTCTCTTCCCCTCCCCTGCTTACAGTCTGTCTCCATCTCTCTGAAAAATAAACATTAAAAAATAATAAATCCATGTAGGAAGGCAATTTGTCTCTTTTTCTTACCACTAGACCATCAGTGCCTAGAACAGTGGCCAGCACATACAGTGAATTCAATAAATAAATGTAAAGTGAATAAATTATTTGTTTAAAAATTGTACTCACTCTGTGCAGCTGAACATAAAACCCAGTTCTGATTCAAGAACTACTAAATAATTCACTTACAAAAAATATTATTGGGCAATGTTGATTTCACCAAAGATTTTGGATGAGAAATGGAGAAAGGATTAATATTGGCACTCTTCATTAAAACTGTGCAACCTCACTCATAACAAAAACAAACAAACAAAAACAAACAAATAAAACTACACCAAGAAGCCTGAGTTGTTAGAGGCTATGGAGAGTGAAGAGAACTTCTGCAGGAAATGGAGGGAGATAAGAAGGAGCTAACTGGTACAAGGCCCAAGAAGACTGAGGAAAGTATTAATGTGGGAGAGTGGCAGTGATGGGAGATGTGTTACATAAAGGAGGTATCATTAAATACTTAAGGATAATGTGAAATATGTTTGTCAGAGAAGGGAATTAATAATATGGAAAGGGAAATGACTAAAATGAATCATGTGGTATTAGACAAGAATTGAAGTTATAGTACCAACTCATAGTTTTATAAAGTTTATTTATTTATTTATTTTGAGAGAGAGAAAGAGTGCACGAGTTGGGGAGGGGCAGAGAGAGAGGTAGAGAGAGAATCCCAAGCAGGCTCCACACTGCCAGCACAGAGAATGACACACAGCCTGATTCCACAAACCATGAAATCATGACCTAAGCCAAAATCAAGAGTTAGATGACCAAGCAATTGAGCCTCCAGGAGTCCCTCAACTCATAGTTTTTTTTTTTTTTTTTTTTTTTTTTTTTAATGAAGCTCTTTTTTTTTTTTTTTTTTATTTATTTCTAGGAAAGAGAGAGAGACAGCGTGAGCAGGGGACGGTCAGAGAGAGAGGGAGTCACAGACTGAAACAGGCTCCAGGCTCTGAGCTGGCAGTCAGCACAGAGCCCGACGCGGGGCCCGAACCCACGAACCGCGGGATCATGACCTAAGCGAAAGTCGGACGCTTAACCGACTAAGCCACCCAGGCGCCCCTCATAGTTTTTAATACAGAGAAAGACAGGAAGTAAGGAAGGGAGGGTAGAAGGGCAGGAGGAAGGTTTTGTTTATTAAGAAGGCCTAGGAACAGAGACACCTCAAAAGCAAGAAACACACCTAGCACCCATATCTTGGCTTCTAAATACTATTCTCCATTAAAAATCTCCTTGAAAAAAATGGATGACTCCAGGTCTGAGACAAGGAAAGTACAAGATTAGCCTGGAACATCTCTTTGGATGAGAAAGCAAGGAAGTGCTCACAGATGATAAAGTCAAAAGAACAGAAGAGCCAGCTTGAAGGAGTTCCACTGACCAAATCTAGGACAATCTTGACAGCCACAATTTAATGAAATGACCAGATCAAACATCATCAGTAATGCACTAAATCAAAATTGTGAGTCACCTGATAGGTTGCAACAAGAGGAACACAGAATCATTTCTGCTATCTTCCTGCCATAATCTCAATTGAGTCAAAAACAATGTCAGGCAAACCCAAATTAAGAGACATTTTTACAAAATATCTGGCCTATAATATTTAAAAGAATCAAAATCATAGAAGTGAAAGAAAGAACCTTTTCAAATTGGAAGACGCTAAAGAGGCCCAGCCGCTAACAGGCACAACACATGATTCTGGACGATATACTTTTGCTATAAAGGACATCCTAGGGATCATGCGCAAAACATGAATGGAATCTGAGAATTAGACAGTACTAACGTATCAAAACTAATCTTCTGATATCGATGGTTTTATTTAGGTTATATAGCAGAATGTCTTTGCTTTTAAGATATATACTCTACAGTATTCAGGAGGATACGATTATGATGTTGTTAACTTACTCTTAAGTAGTTTGGGGTGTAGCGAGGACATTCTCTCTACTTGCAATTTTTCCCTAAGTTTGAGATAGTGTGCAAATTTTCTTAAAATGAACTAAAAAAAATGCTAATCTCTGTTGGGAGTATGGTACAACTGGTACAACTACTTAGGAGGGGAATGTAGTAATGTTTATCAAAATAACATGTATCTTGTCCAACAATATCACTACTGGTAATTTATTCTATACACTAATGCAAAATAAGGTCTACATATGTTTACATGTTGCAATATTGTCATTAATGCAAACAATCACAAACAACCCAATGTCCATGAATAGGTTAAATTAATTATTGTTTGTACCTTATTTTTTTTTCTCTGTACTACATATTTTGGATATCTTTCCTGTCAGTGTATAGGGAGGTTTGTAATTCTTTTACACTGTTCCATCATACTCCATTTTATCTATGTAGCATAATTAATTTAACCTATTTGTGGACATTGGGTCTCATAGAATAAACTCTCAGTAGTGGTATTTTTGGATAAGATATATGTAGCAATAGTTTTTTTCTTTTTCTCTTTTTTTTCTGTTCTTTTTTTCTTTCCTTTTTTTTTAAGTTTTTATTTTAACTCCGCTTGGTTAACATACAGTGTTATATTGCTTTCAGGTGTACAATATAGTAATTCCACATTTCAGTACATCATTATGTGTTTGTCATGACAAGTGCATTGATTGGACTCTCTCTCCCTTATTTTTTTCCCTTTGCTTGTTTGTTTTGTTTCTCAAACTCGACATATGAGTAAGAATATGGCATTTTATCTTTCTATCTTTCTCTGACTGGCTGATTTCCCTTAGCATTATATCTCTGGCTCTATCCATGTCTTCATCCATTCGTCAGTCGATGGATACTTGGGCTGAATCCATATCTTGACTATTGTAAATAATACTGCTATAAACACAGGAATGCATGTATCCAAGAGGAACCTCCATACTGCTTTCCACAGTGGCTGCACCAATTTGCATTCCCACCAACACCTGTTGTTTCTTATGTTGTTGATTTTAGCCAATCTGACAGGTGTGAAGTAGTAGATCAACGTAGTTCTGATTTGCATTTCCCTAACGATAAATGATGATGAACATTTTTCATGTGTCTGTTGGCCATCTGTATATCTTTTTTGGATATGCATTTATAACTTTTTTAATATTCTTTTTTCATTTTATTTTAGAGGGAGAGTGCAGCAAGCCAGGAAGAAGGAAAGAGAGAGAGAATCTTAAGCAGGCTCCACATTCAGTGTAGACCCCAAAGTAGGGCCCCATCGCACAACCCTGGGATCATGATCTGAGCTGAAATCAAGAGCTGGACGCTCAACTGACTGAGCAATTGTAATTTTGATAAACATACTACATTTCCCTTCTAAGGAGTTGTATCGATTTATACTCAAATTGATGAAATAAATTTCAAAACAGAAATGAAAAGTGCCTATATTCTCAAAGCTTTACCAACTCTGTGTATTATCAAACTACCCACAAGTAGCTTATTAAAGTATTTTTTCTAAATACATAACATTATTTGCCCAAGAGAAACTTTAATGAATGGGATTTCCTCCACCTCACGAGGTACTAATTTACTTACCAGTGGTGCCCCTCTATCCACACATACCATTTCTACTCTGTGACCTTCTTCTGCTCTTTGATTTTGGTGGGTCCTGATAAGCATGGGCCTCCACTCCTCTTATTTAACATTAATCTAAGCAGCATCTATCTCTAAATAGGCAAAAGGCTCTGCCCAAATTTGAAGAAACATTTAAAACTTGTCAAAACTGAAGATTTTTGGCTTAAACCCAAGATGAGAAGGATAAACAAACCCTGCCCAAATGGAATCTAGTTCTGATATATTTTCCTGCCTTTCTAATTAAAGCCAAATGTTTGAATATTTCTTAAATTACCTCTCAAATTCACTGCATTGTTTTTCCTTTTAAAAGGAGACAAACTTATATTTACATTGTTAATAGATTTATTTTAACACATGCTTATTTTTCAGTTTGTCATGCAGTGTTCTGAATCTCCAATGTGGCCAGCCCGATGTGCTCTATTCTTCGGTGGACTGACATAAATTTGCTGCCTGGACCACATATGTACCACAGAATTATGGGAGCCACAAATGTCAGAATGCTCACTCCCACAACTTTTTGTCATGATTTTGCTCCTTGACAATGATACAAGGGAGCCAGGGAAAGGGATCCAGGGTATTAGTGAACAGTTAACAACAAGAGTACAAAAAGTAAAATCTTCTGACTGGACTATGTTTCAAAATATTACTCCCAATAACCAACATTTCAGTAGTGCATTTCAGAATCCACTGTAAGTGTTATCCCATTTGATTTCTATAATTTCAGTGAATAATATTGATTCCCATTCTTTAAGTCAGGAAATGAAAAAATAATAACTGAATTTCCCCAGATCACACAACTAGGAAAAAATAAGCCTATAAAGTACCTGAGTTTGGCTAATCTTCAATGATCTCAGAGTAAATCTCTATGATTATTAAGTTTAATAAGTCTATCAGTAATGGATATTTCTAAATTCAAATGACTTTAAAATTTTATGAGGCTACCTAATGCCTCGAGAACAGCGTCCATGGAGGCTGGGAATTCCAGAAAATAGGAGCTAAAAAGGTTAATCTATTCTAACAGAAGGATGATTAATATGAGGTACGATTACCTATGTCTAATTAACCTAGTCCATTATTGAGTTCTTAACAAGGAGGATATGGATACAGAAATGTCACTCAGAAAGAATTCAGCTAAGAAAGTTTGAAGACAGTACTGCTCTGGGAATGATAATCATTATATTTGTTAGCCACTGGGAATGCTTGAAACCATCTTCATATTTAAGCCAGAACCTAAAATACTTCTTTATTCAAACCTCTCTGATAAGAGGACTGTGAAGCATAAGATTAATAAGTAATCTTTCAAAGGTCTTAAAGGAAAATATGTTTATTGTTTTTAAATAAATACCAACCAGTCTTGCTTATTGTATTCAAAGACCTACTAATAAAAAGTTAAACATTGCAGGGCGCCTGGGTGGCTTAGTCGGTTAAGCGTCCGACTTTCGCTTAGGCCATGATCTCGCAGTTCGTGGGTTCGAGCCCCGTGTCGGGCTCTGTGCTGACTGCCAGCTCAGAGCCTGGAGCCTGTTTCAGTCTGTGACTCCCTCTCTCTCTGACCCTCCCCTGCTCACACTGTCTCTCTCTCTCCTAGAAATAAATAAAACATTAAAAAAAAAAAAAAAGTTAAACATTGCTAGTGAGTGGCATATATTCTTGACTGACCAATGATTTAATAATAGGCCTAACTCCTCTCTCTCACTCTGACACCCATCTTATACCTGCTATATTCCAAGAGAAAGTCGGATAAAACACCAATAATATTTCCACTAATTACACTTCTGAGGACCTTGGAAAATCAATGTTCCTTTAAGCATACCTAACTTAAAATCTTAGGTACTGAAAAAATTTGGCTTGCCATATCCTGTGGGTTAGTTTGTGTTTTGTTTTGTTTCACTGTATAATGCAATGTCAAGTAAGAATGAAGGATATCATTTACTTTAGTTTTATGCTATGTTAATGGAATTTTTCTTATTATCTTGGAATTGGTTATTCTGATTGAAAAATTATGACAAAATAGTATAAGGATTCCATAATTTTAAAGGCCACGCCAACCACTGAGGCCAAAAGCCTGTTAGGACTTATTTAGACACAAAGGAGCTGCCTCTCCTATTGCCAACCAGCATATCGGCCCTAAGTGGGCAGAAAAATAGTTCCCCTCAACCCACCAGAAGTCAAGTGAAGAGGAAGTTTCAGTGAAATACGGAAAGTGAACACTGGCAAAGCAGAAAGCTTGACAGCCTACTACTTAGCTAAATATTTACAGAGTCAAGGAACTAGAGACCAACCTGAAGCCTGCCTTCAAAGTGCAGTGAGCCCTATGAGGGATTCTGGGGGAGAACTTGACCTGTGTCTGGAATGTGGAAGCATATCTGAACACCAAGAACTGTGCATCCTTCTTTTCTGGAGATTTTCAAGGAGGGCTTGCTGACTAAGCCCAGAAGAGTAGGACAAAAAGAGAGCACATTATAGGGAACTTAGGAAAAAGATGGAGAAAGTCTCTGGCTTATTCCAGTTTCCTTGTCTATCAGAGGACGCAGATGAGGCCTTCCTGGTTCCACGCAATACAAAAGAATATAGAGGAGTGAGGAGAAAGCCCAAGTCCAAGTCCTAGAACAACACCTGACAGTGTGCTTTTTAAGGGGAGTAGGATGTGGACCAAAGGCAGGACTAAAGGAAGACATGGGTGCACTCCCCAGAGACACAGTGCACCAAGCTGAAGCTAAACAGCACTAAAATTTGCACAAAGCTGTGAGGAGATCGTCACATCCTCAGTGACCACCAGCAGCAACAGAATCATGCACATTCTCCGGGGGAGGGCTATGTCCTCATCAATAAGCAATCCCCACCATCTCTTATATTCCTCCTACGGAACAAAGGAGTGAAATGCTACAGAGGGAATTGAGAGGATCATATTTGAGACTGGATTTTTACACTGGAGTGAAATTAGTTTGGATTTGCTTTGTTTTTTTTAATAACTGCAAATGATGAGAAAGATGTAAAATATGCTCAATAAATTGTCATGGGAGATTTCGACAAAGTACTACTGGGAATTGTAATTGGAGAAAAATAAAAACATTATTGTGTTAATATCCACCAAGTAGAGCCCACTCAATAAAACTGTTTATACTAACATGCTGACTATCTAATCAGGCTAGGAGGGGTTTTGCGGGGGAGGAAAGGGGTCACACATCATCTCAACATAGTGGACAATAAAAAGAACAACAATAACAAAAAACAAGTCAATTCTTACATGCAGGAATTAGGAAAAGAGATTTTAAAAGAATAAAAAAATCATTAAGATTTGATCTTATATAAGTTGAAGACCCACACTTACTTGTCTATGTCTTTGTTAAAAGGAAATATTTTTAGTAAAACAAACCTTGGATTTGTATAAGGCCTTTGAAAGTTTTCAATGTACTGGATTTGGGTTTTGTTTTGTTTTGTTTTGTTTTTCTTATAACATACAGTATAGTCTTGACTTCAGGAGCAGAAGCCAAGTGATTCATCACTTACATATGATACCCAGTGCTCATCCCAACAAGTACCCTCCTTAATGTCCATCACCCATTTAATCCATCCTCCCACCAACCTCCCTTCCAGCCACCCTCAGTTTGTTCTCTGTATTTATGAGTCTCTAATGGTTTCTCTCTCTGTTTTGAATTTTACCTTATGAGAAAAGACCAAATGTCTCATTATTCACTTTCATATCCATGGTGTACATGATGAACCACAGAAAATATTCAAACCATGATTTTCAAATCAATCTATCACCTTCTATCCACTTCTCCCTTCTGCTGTCTTATCTTCAATTCATTGAAAATTTGGGGGGGATAGTTCTAATTTTTTTCACAAGATACCTGTATTATTTTTGTAATTGAAAAATAAAGCAATGATTAGCATTCTATTCATCTTCCTTTATGTAATTATGCCTTATTCTATATAACAAATAACTATTCATTTCCACATTCAACATTTATTTCCTTCAAGTCAACCTCTTTCTAACCAGTATCTTCAACTTATTTGTGCCATGTTTTTCTATTTAAATGTTTGCCCTATAAAATCTGACTTCTCCACTCCTAGCACCGGGGGCTGCTAGAAAAAACACTACAACCTTTCAGGTTGGTGTCTCAACTCAATTTCAGTTTTGATTCTCAGATCTTCTGTAACACTCAGAAATTTGTGTTTTGTTTTGTTCTTGCTCATTTCACTTTTTCATTCTCTACAGTAATTTCAGTATCCTCTCTACTGTCCTCAAACCTCCAACTAAATCACTCCTTCTTAGCAACGACTGCACAGAGAAAGTAAGAGCCGTAAGATAGAAAGTCACTCCTCTTTCAGCCACGGAGACTCGCAAACTAACCCGTATTGAAGCTATTCTCCCCTCCCATTCTCTTGAACTGGGAATTAGGTCTTTCCCATATCTAAAACTAATCCAGTCTCTTCTATATCTTAAACTTGTCCTCAGATTGGCGTCTAATCAAAAACAAGTCTTTCCTGAATGAGTAACCTTTTAGCTATCACCCTATCTTTTTCATTCACGACTAAATTGAAATTGTTGCATACCTGCCCTGCTTGTGGAAGGGGTTGGGGGGAGTAGGAGTAGCATGTGAGTCAGAGCCCACCTGATACATGGTAAAGATGTCCCCACACAGAGATCAGTCTGGTGTAGAGAGGCCAAGCCTGAGGAAGATGAGGATTTGTTCATGTAGAGGGGCACAGTGTGGACGGCAGAGCCTGCACAGGGGAACAGTGCATCTACAGAGGAGAGGGGATAGCAGTAGAAAGCAGAGACTGATTACATACATGAGGATAATTGCATTATTGTTATGATCAAATGATATAAAGCACGTAAAGACTGAGCACACCATATTCATCATTTTATGTTTTAAGAATTATGTAAATAGTCAAAAGCATTTTTCCCTCTAGAGCTCCCTAAAATTGTTTTCTTTTCATAACCAATCTTTTTTTTTTTTTTTAATTTTTTTAATGTTTTATTTATCTCTAGGAGAGAGAGAGAGACAGCGTGAGCAGGGGAGGGTCAGAGAGAGAGGGAGTCACAGACTGAAACAGTCTCCAGGCTCTGAGCTGGCAGTCAGCACAGAGCCCGACGCAGGGCTTGAACCCACGAACCGCGAGATCATGACCTAAGCAAAAGTCAGACGCTTAACCAACTAAGCCACCCAGGCGCCCCTCTTTTCATTTTTTTATGTACCCTACTTTTCACACAGATAAAGACTGTTTCTTCTTAACACAAATCTAATAAGTCTCTTCATGAGAGAGTTCTCATTTTATTTATTTGCTTCTTTAAAAAAATATCATGTTCTGGGCTGCCTGGGTGGCTCGGTCGGTTAAGCGTCTGACTGTTGGTTTCAACTCAGGTCATGATTTCACAGTTTCTTGAGTTCAAGCCCTGTATCGGGTTCTGTGCTGGCAATGCAGAGCCAGCTGGGGATTCTCTCTCTCCCTCTTTCTCTCTGCCCCTCCCATACTCATGCTGTCTCTTTCTCTCAAAATAAATAAATAAACTTAAAAAAAATGGTATGTTCTAACAGAAAGTTATCTTTGGAGAAATGAGATAATACCAGAAACTATTAGCACTGCTCAGGCATGGAATATTTCTTTCTTCCGTGTCCTAGTAAGTAAGCACATATAGGTCCCCACAGGAAATTCAACACATACACTGTATGGTAAATATAGTATTATAAGAAAATACGATTTTAGGGGCACCTGGGTGGCTCAGTTGGTTAAGCATCTGACTTCGGCTCAGGTCATGATCTCACAGTTCGTGGGTTCGAGCCCCCCATCAGGTTCTGTGCTGACAGCTGGCTCAGAGCCTGAAGCCTGTTTCAGATTCTGTGTCTCCCTCTCTCTCTGAACCTCCCCTGCTCATGCTGTCTCTCTCTCAGAAATAAATAAAAAACATTAAAAAAAAAGAAAAGAAAATATGCTTTTAAAATATAAAACAAGAAGGCCAAATACATAAATTTGTGGAAAACAGTGTTTCTATCATTTAAATAATTGTTTCTTAATAACTAGACAATGTTTGGGAGAAAAACCTCTATTGTAAAAAAGAGTAATGATTCAACTAATTAATGGGCTCTACATTGACAGAATGAACATTATATACCATACATTTAAAGCTCTTTTGAGTCCCATAATTGTGAAGATACATATGTGGGTATTTTCTAGCTCTCTTACTATTGTGTTTCTCTTACAAATTTTAAACTAAAAGTTCTGGCTGCCAGAGGTGAAAATTTATAATGAATTACATGATTATACATTTCTACTCACTGACCACACTCTCTAAATTTAACTATCATGTTTTACCATTGTTAATTGTTTAATTTTATCATTGATCTCTTTGTTTAGTAAAATACACAAGATAGTGGGGTGCTTGGGTGGTTCAGTCAGTTAAGCTTCTGACTCTTGGTTTCAGCTCAGGTCATGATCTCAGTCTGTGGGTTTGAGCTCTGTGCTGGACCTCCGCATCCACTCCATGCAGACCTAGAGCCTGCTTGGGATTCTTTGTCTCCCTCTCTCTCTGCCCCTCTTCCACTCATTCTCTCTCTCTCTCAAAAATAAATAACACTAAATTTTTAAAAATATGCAAGATAATACATTAAACACATCCCTAGAGTTTTTCTTTTAATTATTAAAGGAAAATTAATTCACCATTCAGAAGTTAAATTTATACACATAAATTTAATCCATAGCAATTTAAGAAACAAAACAATGGAGCAAAGGAGGAAAAAACAAGAGGCAAACCAAGAAACAGACTCTTCACTATAGATAACACACTGATGGCTACCATGTGGGAGGTGGGGGCGAGGGATGGGTTAAACAGGTGATAGGGGGTGAGGAGGGCACTTGTGATGAGCACATAACTTGTATTATGTGGAAGTACTGAATCACTGTAACATACACCTGAAACTCTTATTACACTCTGTTAACTAACCAAATTTGAATAAAAACTTAAAAAAAAAATGTAATCCACAGCACTTACCATTGCTCATACTTTCTGCTATCTTGTAAGAATCCAGAACGCTATATCTCATTTCCATTCATAAATCCACAAACTTCTGTTTCTCCACAGCAAATATTGTAGTTTTTTCAATCTATTTCATTGTTTTTAAAAATAAAAAAATATTTTAAAATATACGCAAAATAATTTTTACATAATATATATATTTAATGACCAGGTTTTCAAATACCTGTCAAATTTACCAAAGTTATAAATGAAAATTGTTTGTCTTCAGAAATGTTCTTAGTGATTTTAATTTCTAAGACAGGTATCACCTATACATAATCTCAATATATACATAGCCAATAAAATACTACAAAATCAAGATCTTTGATGTCTATGACTTACTTGTAAATCTGTTCAGAATACTTTTATTAAATGTCAGCTGTGAAGCTATATGCTAAAAATATAGATAAGCAAGTTTCATTTAACTCCGAGATTCTTAGAGTCAGGTATTTTGCTCTCTGCTATGGCACACAATAGCATTTTTCCTAAGCAATCAAAAGCAGACTGGAAGATTCTTTGTTCATTAATTGTAAATAATGTATCCAATATAAGTAGAAAAATGCTGAAAGGTGATATATATTTTTTAATATAACTATTACTTTAAAACCATAAAACTTTAGTAAAGGCAGTAATCATTATTTATTTCAACTGGGATTGGACAATATATCATGATGGTGACCTTGAGGCAATCAGCACACGCTTATAAAATGATGGTTTGAACTTATATCTTATTTTTTCTAATTTTTTAAATTCTTTAAATATTTATTTCTTTTGAGACAGAGAGCCAGACAGAGTGCAAGTGGAAGAGGGGCAGGGAGAGAGGGAGACACAGAATCTGAAGCAGGTTTCAGGCTCTGAGCTGTCAGCGCAGAGCCCAATGCAGGGCTTAAATGCATGAGCCATGAGATCATGACCTGAGTCAAAGTCAGACGCTCAGTTGACCGAGCCACCCAGATGCCCCTGAACTTGTGTCTTATTTTCAATTCATCAGTCTCATGCAGTTTCACGTGGGTATCTAGAAAAATTTCCTGTAAGATTCAACAATCTTATAATGGAAAGTTGTTTAAAGATAACATTCTTTTATCAATTTACCACATATCAATAAATATTTATTAAGTGTATATTATGTGCCTGGCACTGCACTAAGTACTGCCCATATAGAAATGATTAACACTTGAGCCTTAGATAAGAGAACCCGTGAGGGGCGCCTGGGTGGCTCAGTTGGTTAAGTGTACAACTTTAGCTCAGGTCATGATCTCATAGTTCATGACTTCGGGCCCCATATCAGGCTCTGTGCTGACACCTCAGAGGCTGGAGCCTGCCTCAGATTCTTTGTCTCCCTCTCCCTGCCCCTCCTCCACTCACACTGTCTCTTTCTCAAAATAAAGAAATAGTTTTAAAAATTTTAAAAAGAGTAACCCTGAGAGGCATGGAGTATTATGGGAGAGACAGTAAAATGAACCACACAAAACACTATTAAGGAATAAAGTTTTTAAAAGGTGCTGTGAACAAAGAAGAGAAACTTATATCTAGGGGAGGGTTACAGAAGCCTTCTTGGAGGCTTGATAAACAAGTCTACTGCCTGGCTTTCAGCATGACGTACGGAGAGAATTGGTTCAAATCCTAGTACCATCTGTTACTAGTTGTAGGAGTTTGGACAAGTTACTTCATCATTTCAAGCTGGTTTCTTTGTTTATAGAATGGATATAATAGCATTTACGTTACAGTGCTGTTAAGAGGACCACATAAGATAATGAGTAGAAAGCAAAGTGGCTGCTATAAAATTTGCTAGTATTCTTGTTGTTTTAATGGTGACCTCTTTCTCGTTCACACACACCCCTCACTTAGCAAACAAACTGGTGGTTTATGGACTTCTTCGCCAATTAATTTATGTCCTATATATTTCTAAAAGAAAAACTTGCTTCGTCCCACCAAGCCTGCCCCCCATTCCATTTCTGGTTATCAGCTAGGCTTTGTGACCCCATGAAAAGTCTCCCTGACTTTCTTTTCATTACCACACATGCCTGTGCCAGGCCCGCTCTTTGAATGTAAGCCTGACCACTGAGAAATGTCTTGAATATCTACCATAACTCTCCTGTCATCCTTCTCTGTCCCCATATCCACCCGGAGACAGAACTCTTGCCCTTTACCCTCACACTACTTTCTGAGAAGTCTTTCTTACCAATGTTTTCATGATTTTTCGACAGTTCCCTTAATTGGCTTTGTCCTCTAACTATTGCTCTAACTACTGGCCACTGCTGTCTCCAACACTTCATTTCATTTGGAGTGATCACTGTAGAGACAGAAAAAAACAATGTGATTAAAGGGAATGACAATTTGTTTTTTCTCACCTTATCGTCTTTAGGATCATGACTCTACTTGACAATCATTCTCTCCCCTGCAACAACCTCCCATTGGCCACTTATCTATCAAGGGACTCTTTCATGAAAGGTTCTTCTCTCCTTCCTCTTCATTTGCAGAAAAACCTAAGTGGGGAGGTCAGGCTCAGTTCAGTTTCTTCTCATACATTTATCTTTCTGAGGGCTTCTACCAAGTTTCACAAAAACAGATCCAAATGATATCAAAAGACAGAAATAAAGAAAAAAATAGAGTTAAAGGGCTTCTCCCTATTCAAGGAGCCCACTGGCAGAAATACAGTTTTCCTTATTTTTAAGACTGCAAAAAATATGATTTGGATGTTAAAATTATTAGGTAAAATGCAGTCTACTCTAGCTTCCTAATTTTGTCTTTAACCCATGCCTTACAAAATTATTTTTGCTTTACTAAAGCATTACTGTCACTTTCTAAAGACCAAGATGACTATAATATTTCAACTTGTCAATTAATTCATTTTTTTTTATTTGAAAGGGAGAGTGTGCATGCGAACAGGGGAAAGATGCAGAGAGAGAGAGAGAGAGGGAGGGGGAGAGGGAGAGGGATGGGGGGGAGAGAGAGAGAGAGAGAGAGAGATGGAGAGAGAGTTCCAAGCAGGCTCCATGCTAAGTGTGGAACTCCACTCAGGGCTCAATCCAACTACCCTGGGATAATGACCTGATCCACCCAGGTGCCCCAATTTGTAGATTATTCATAATTAAAATGTGGGGCTTGAACCCATAAACGGTGAGATCATGACCTGAGCCGAAGTCAGATACTCAATTGACTGAGCCACGCAGGCTCCCCAAGTATTCATGATTTAATTTTGTTCCCCACTTCATATGCTTTGTACATCTTCACAACAGCTTGTGTACCTCATGTCCACAAAACTCTGCATATATGTTTCAAAGTCTAAAATATTAAAGCATTGAGGTCCTATCAGATTCTCCACAGCAAAATAATTTGAAATTCATATGCTCTACAAAAAACAATTATCAATTGACTATATCAATTATATATCAATATGGGGCAGATATTGTCAGTTGCCTCATGTTTCCACTGAAATACATTGATTTAAGTAGCTTGTACATGAACCAAAGGAAAAATGTTCATTTTACAAAGACAAAAAGCAAAAAAAACAATTCCTGATTAAGCCACATGCGAATGAATATACTAAGTCACAGATTAAATGTCTGATTTCAAAGTTTAGCTATCACGTAACTTGTTTCCTAACTCTGAAACAAAAGATCATTTGCAACGCTTAGAATTCTGGGGCAGGAAGTCCCCAGCAAACTTTTAAACTTAAATGCCTTTCCTCCTTACAGCATGCCTCAACAAACACTGCCTTCATCATAGCTACTTCTTCAATTGAGTAACAAGAAAAATTCCTCAATAGGAAAAATAGTAACATGAAAACTAAGCTGATTCAAATGAATGAGAACTAATTCTCTTTTGAAGGTTTTAAGTATGATAACATAAGTGTAATAATGAACAACAATAAATAAAACTAACCTTACATAACAGACCCTTGGAGAATCTTCCATTAAACAGTACTGAAAATACAGTGATGGTAAATAATAAGTTTTAAGTTTTAAAATCATCAATAATAAGGATCTTCTTCACCAACAGAAAAAAATGTCAATGATTGGGAAGGCAATATTCTCTAAGTGAGATAGCAAATATGAAATTCCAGTTAGCAAAATATGAATTTAAGGTAAAAAAAAAAAAAACTGGAAACTTGTTGCATTCACTTATACTTTGCACTAAAACTCAATAATCTTCAGAAAATGTTAGCTATTATAATTAGATATTTTTTTTACAGTCATTACATAAAGTTGTACCAGGTCAAAAGTCATAAAATAGTTCAGAAAATAAACTTAGCATTTCTGATCCTTCCCATAGGCCCACTGCCATTCAAGCCTATATGAATAAACTTTACCAAGTCATCAAATTTAGAAGGATCTAAATGTTACAAATTCAGTCAAGAGATATTCCCTTGGAGCCACTGATCAAATCTCTTTTCAGCCACTAATCAAATCTCTTTTGAAAGAATTCTAATTGATATGAATCATTGTCTTTGCTTCACCAGCAATGCTTTCCTTTATTAGTTGTACATCTAGATGGAAATGTAACAAAACGTTAACAGTGGTTATCTCTGGCTGAATAGAATTATGGATGATTTGACTTAAAATTAAGAAATCAAGGCATGCTTGGGTGGCTCAGTTGGTTCAGCACTGGATTCTTCATTTTGGTTCAGGCCACAAGCTCTTGGTTAATGAGATGTAGCCCTGCGTTGGGCTTTCCACTGACAGTGCAGAGCCTGCTTGGGATTCTCTCTCTCTCCCTGTGCCCCTACCCAGTCCATGCTCTCTCTCTCTCTCTCTTTCCCTTTCTCTCTCTAAATAAAAAAATGAACTTTAAAAAGAAAAAAAACATATTTAAAAAAAAGACATCAAAAATAAAACATCAACCGGTGTTCATGTAACACATATCATGAGGAGGGAGAACAGAAATAGAAATTTGGGACTGAATTTTGTGATGAAATTCACAATGCATTTAAATGTCTATTAAGTATGAAGAGCACAAATGCACCATCTAATTAAGTATCAAATATTAAAAAACTCACTTATTTTGCTAATAATATAGCAAATTTTGTCTTCAGTCTTCACACCAACATCATTGTTGTATTCTGAGGATGTTAAAGAGTTAAGTCAGAGTTACAAAACCCTGAAATACGAAATTAAGACGAAAAGAAAACAAAAACCAAACACCCCTAGTTCTACACTATTCAAGCCAATCAAGTGTTAGTTGAAATAAGGATTAAGCATGGATTTCAATTTTTTTTTTTTTTTAAGAAGAGGTTCTAGCTACTTGGTATGGTTTTTCTTACAACCATACATGAAAACTTTCTGTTGAGATGGCTTGCTTTTTTTTTTTTAATAATAATATTGAGCACATTGATATATTATGTGAAAATCTCCAGACTTGGCAGTAATTTTTACATACCACATCAATACCAAATATCCTGGCAGTGATTATCATTTGTCATTTTAGACAGAGTTCTTGAGCTTGAGTTTAATCCTTTGTATAGTAAGGTGCAACAGCCATTGAATTTAAAGTCCAAGGAACAAATACCATACAGAGAGACTTCTATTTAAGCTCTGAAGAAGCTATAAAAAGGGAAGGGGGAGCTAGTTATTCTGTCTACTTGGAATTTTACCCACCTGAGTCTAGTAGAGGGGTTAGAAGAAGGGAAAGGAGTTAACAGCAGTGGGATGTTGTTCTGGGAACAGAAAGCAGCACACAACTGCACACTGGCAACAGTGAGACAGGCTAACAAAAGGGGACAGAAGATGCACTTGACAGAAGTATAGAGAGTTAGCAGATGAGTAGGAGGAGAAGGCATATGAGACGTAGGCTGGAGTGCAGTAGGAAAGAGCTTTAGTGGTAAAGACGGATAGCTTAAACTTAATGCACAATACAATAAGGGCCCAGGTCCAGAAGACCAAGAAAACACCTACAGTACCACATTTCAAGTCATCTCAAGGGCCCAGTTTTAGACAAAGAGTTTTCAAAAGGGGAGGTTACAAAAGCCATGAGAGAAAATATCTAGTCCAAAATTTAGTCCAAGTGCTCCAAAGGGAACCTGACTGGCTCAGTAAGAAGAGCATGAGACTCTGGATCTCAGGTTGTGAGTTAGAACCCCATATTGGATGTAGAAATTACTTAAATAAATAAATTTTTAAAACAATGAAAACACAAACAGGAATTTAGAAGTGCCTGAGTTGTTTGTTTGTTGTTTGTTTGTTTCTGGTGTTTCCACAGTTTGAACAAAAGGAGGAGGTAAACAAAATGAAGCAAGTAAACTCAAGTTTAGACACTTAAATAGTTATGTGACCAAATCCAAATCGAAGAAAGGCGATAATTAGGATAAATGAGTAGAAACTTAAAGTGATGGGGGTAAGAATTTCCTGGCAACTTGTCAATTAGTTTAAGAGGTATTTAGGAAGCGTTTACAAAGACACAGAAAGAAAATAAAGAGAAATAGCAAAATAAGTAATAAAGACAATAATTTATAATACCCTAAACAAAAACTGGTAAAACAAACTACAAGTAAATCTCTTAGGATTCTTTCTGGTTAAATGCAATTCTAGTTCATTTAAACAACTGATTCTTATTTTTTTAGATAGACGTTACATTAAAACAAGAAAAATTTTACTAAAAATTCTAAACAATTTAGCCATTGTTCACAAGCCCTAAAGTATTTAAAACAAATTTAGTAATGAAGGCCCCATTGTGTACCACACTTTTAAATCCACTTCTTACCCAATGTCATTTGAACGCTTCACAAGTATCATTTGACCCTAAAGCTGAGCTGACATTTTAGCAAATTCACCATTTTACCACTAGGTGGCGAAAAAAACCCAAGTAGTATCTGTTCCCAAAGCTAGCAGGAAATTCCAAGTACCTGAACAACTAGAATTTCCACCAGGTGTCAACCAAGAGGAAAGAAAAAAAAAAAAGGCTATTTTTTTCCCACTCAAATACACAAATTCATAGTTTTAAGCATAGCCATCTCAACTTTATTAGAGATAAATGGCCTGCCCGTTAACTCTCCAAATAATTTGCATATTTATATATAATGCTGAGCCCAAGATAACTGCCTTGTCAACTGAAATCCAATTAAGTTGTTTCTTCCTCTAAAAGCAAGTAAACAGTAAAACCAATGAGTACAGTCAAAAATCTTCCAAAGTATATTTAATTATGGATATATAGTTGCAGATTCATATTTTTCCATCTACATTTCTAAGAAGCAGCTCTCTTGATTGCAAAAATCTAGAGAAGTGTATACTGTCATGCCTTGAATTCCAGTGTGATTTTATGAAAACAATGTCATTTGTTACCAAAATATTCATAATAAAGATAAAGGTACTTGTCTTTAAGAGAATTATGATGTGGAACAGTCTAAGGCCGTTGGACTTGTAAAAATTAGTATTAGAACTTAACAAAATTAAGGTCTATTTATATACCAAATCATGCTTTTTAAAAACCATCTTTACAGGCTTCACTCATTTCTAACAAAGATTTCTGATTCTGTTGTGAACATGATGTCAGCTAAAACACTATGTCATGTTACCTCTTATCAAGCGGTACGTTTTAAGGCCAAACTCTATTTTTAATCCTCTGGACACAGGAGTTGTGATCATGTCATACCCTGCAAATCTAGCTGTAGGTGGTGTCTTCATTTAAAAAGCCTCTTTTCTTCCTTCTAGGAAGTGGTCAGGCCTTCTACCACCCCCTCCCCCCCCCCCCCCCCCCCCCCCCGCGTCATCAGGCAAACAACTTGGTTGCTTTTCCTTGCAATTTAAATAAGAGATGGAAGAAAAAGCAGTTGAGGAGTAAGCAAAACCTATTGATTTAAACACCACACACACAACTATTGATTATAGTTGCTTCTCGATTTCTTGCTCCTTCTGGTATTCTAAGGTTCCTCTGCCTCGACTGAGTTCTTTCCACTTTGCCTACAACGCACTAGTCTTTTTTTTAAAAAATCCAAGCCAAGAATGCTCTGGTCTACGAACATTATTTGTCTGGATTTTATTACGTTTTCTTTTGAAATTGGTTAGATTATGCTCAGCAACCAGCCGCTTGCCCAACCGGTTTCTTCCCTTCCCCCATCTCTCTTCACACATCACTTTTTCCTCCTTCCATCCAAGCAGTGGGCAAAAAACCCTGCAGCGCCGGTAACGCTCGCTTGGGGCTGGTCACTCAGCAAAACCTACTTGGTTTTGCACACATCCCCCCACCCAGCGCTTGTCCCCCAGTGCCCCACTCTTTCATTATCTATTAGAGTGTGCTCGGTAAGGGGCTCCAGACAGCACGTCGAGGGTTTACGGTAGCCTGCCTACCAATAGGAGCCCACAATGAAGAGATGTCAGGTTCAGCCTCCCGACAGCCCCAGTATCTTCTTCCCTTAGCTGTACACCTACTGTACCCGCGAGCGAGCGAGGGAGCGAGCCGGGCGCGGGAGGGGACGCGCAGGGAGGGCGGACAGCAGCCGCGGCGTGCGCGTGCGCACTGGGGTTGTTTTTCACAAAGCTGCTCTTAAAGTGAGCTGGCAGCCTCCAGCCGCCCGTCTTTGTAAGGAGACCACTGAGACTAGCAGGATCGTGGAGCAGCAGCCTCTCTGCTGCCCTGACTTTTTAAGAAATCTCAATGAACTATTTGTAAAGAATCACTGATCTTGCCTGCAAGCTTTTTGCACGGCAAAGACATCGATCAGTGTTAGGTGAAGATCACATTTTATATGTGATCTTGACTTTTTTGTCTTACATTATATTTTTATAGATTTTGTTATAAACATGGTGCTGGGAAAGGTGAAGAGTTTGACAATAAGCTTTGACTGTCTTAATGACAGCAATGTCCCTGTGTATTCTAGTGGGGATACAGTCTCAGGAAGGGTGAATTTAGAAGTTACTGGGGAAATCAGAGTAAAATCCCTTAAAATTCATGCAAGAGGACATGCGAAAGTACGCTGGACCGAATCAAGAAACGCCGGCTCCAATACTGCCTATACACAGAATTACACTGAAGAAGTAGAATATTTCAACCATAAAGACATCTTAATTGGACACGAAAGAGGTAAGTTTTTATATTATACAGAAATCATTAGACCTCGATTTTCTTCAGGAAAGTACATTTTCAATTTTCCTGAATTAGTGCAATTCTACTCCTGGCATAACACATAGCATTTTGATAGAGGTTAGCAAAGTTGGAAGATTTGGAATCTCCTTGACATTCATAGTGTGTTAAGCTGTAATGCATGCAGGCATCTGCAAAGTGACTGCAAACTGCACTTCTTCAACTACCTCTATCTATACCCGGCTTGCTCTGTGCCATACGCACTTGGAATACATTTCTGTCTTACTTGCAAATTCTACTTAAATCCCATTCAGTAATTTTACAAGTTTTCAAATGAATTGTTAAAATCTGCAGTTCAATATTAGATTCCCCCCCTTGTACTCTGCAACCTTAGATCTTAAAAACTAAGCTTCAGTGAAGAAATGGAGTAACATTTTTTAAGTGAGTAAATAGGTGGTTTTCATTTTTAGTACTGACACGCAAAATATTTTAAAGAATTGATCGTTGTTCTTTGATAAAGGATTTCTGTGGCTTATTTTGACATATGGCATCAGCACCCCACGTGTTTTTTTTTCCCTATTCTTTCCAGATCCTTTATAAATTTACATCAAGCATTGTCTATTTTAAAGGATAGTATCCATCATTATGATAGGTTTCAAATCAGTTTTAGAAGCCATTTCGGGTCAGTAATTTTCTTTTCCGAGTATGATGCCTAACTTTGGAACGTGCATTCAATGAAACCGGCGCCAGTCAAATGGAATTGAAAAGTATTCGGCACACTGGATTTGATTTTTGGTTAGAAAAGGGAGGTGGAGGGTTGTCAAGGGGAGAAGGGGTCCTAAGATTTCCAATCTATTGTTTAAATGGTTACATTGTGGAAATATAGGAGCCTCTAAGCTTGTTTTTCTAAGTTTCCACCCTTTGTTAGAAGCGGTTCAATCCTGTTTCGGACCAGTTCTGGGGGGTGGTGAGGAGGGGCGCTTGTTCTGCTCTCAGCAGATTGGTTACACGCGTCAGGTGGTGGCGATGACTTAATTCCTAGCCCAAGAAGAATATAATGTTAAAACTGGTTATGTAATTTTATGCTTCTCCTTTCTCATGCAGCATTTAGTTCAAATGTTGACGATTTTTCAAAAAGTACAGCACATCTTTACCTTTTTCAATATTAAAAAAATACACATCCTTGAGGAAGTGCTAATTGAACTAAGGCAAGTGTCGAAATGACGGATGCTTGGGAGTTACAGCATTTAACTCATTTTTTAAAAGAGATTAGGATGAAATCAGTTCTTTCGCTGGGTTTTCACAGTTACACATGTCATTTGCATTCTGACCAAATTTCTAGTTAATCCTTCCGAGCTGTAAGACTGAGAATAAATGCAAATGCCTAATGACAGCTTTGGTATTTGTTGAGGAGGAGACACAGGAGTTTGTGTTCGAACCTTTCTGGACATTGTAGCTTTTTATAAAGCGGTTAGGAAACAAAAGGTTTTTAAGGAGTTGAGATTTGCATTGGGGATAAAAGTATGATAACGACTTACAGGAACTAAAACAGTTTGATTAGTTGCTCCATGACTTCACGGTAAAGAAAACTGTGCCCTTACGTACCCTGTACCCCAATGAGATGCCCCTCAACCCCTGCAAAACGCGGACGAGCTCTTAGCTGGAATAGTTTCAATGACTTAAAAGTGGGACCTCTCAAACTAGCCTGGAACTGAGACCCCGCCCCGGACGACCGGCGATAGGCGGAGCCGCGTTTGTTAGCCTGTTGCTAAGGCGATGCCAGGCTGTGATTGGATTGGGCACGAGCGGGTGGGGAGAGGGGGCTCGCGCCGGTTGGGGTGAGGCTTGGAACCGGCGTGCGCCGGTAAAGGTCCCTACCGAGCGGCCGCCCCCGCCCCTACTCGCGTCCGTCCCCGAGATTCTGGAGGCGCCGTGGCTCGGGTCGCAGAATGTTGTCGCCCTTCATTTGGGCTTGCTTGGGGGTCCCGAAAGAAACGGTCCTGGGTTTCGTCAGAGGAGGGGGAGAGCAGCTCTTGCTGGCCTCACAGGTGCCACACGGCCTTCGGCGTAACTTTAGCTGGCAGTCCTATTCTGAAGGAACTTGGGTTAGCGGGACCCCATTTTCCTGTGTCTCGGGTAGAAACTGGCACCTTCTGTACAGGCTGATTCCCTGGGCTGAAACAAAGCGTGTTATCGACCTATGCAGTCGCCAGACCGGCTACCTTGATTTGACCTGAGGGGACAGGCTGGCCAGGAGGGGAGGGAAAAGTGCTACCGACAACGAAAGCCAGGGTGGGTGCCTTAGCGAGTATTCCCTGACCCCTCCCCATTGTTTCCCGGGGACTATGCGGCCCTCCCCACCCCCATCCCCGCCCCCGTTTCCCTCACCGCAACTGTAAAGGTGTCAGGGTGGCCCGAGCCAGATCGAACCGGTCACCGGCTGGGGCGTGTAAAGCGGAAGCGCCGCGGTGCGGTCGCCCCGCCCCCAGTGCAGCAGGGTAGGCTGCGCGAGCGCGAGCGCGAGCGCCGCGCGACGTATGCCGTATGTATAGCGGGGCGCGCGGGCGGCGGCGGCGCGCGGGCGGGCCGGCTGGGATCTGCTCGCGCCGGTTTAGGCCGGTCCTCTCCTGCTCCGGTCTAGTTCTTGATTGACAGCCCGGCACTTGTTTACCACGGCTCGGCCGCCGCAGCTCGCCTCAATGAGACTGCTGAGCTGGCACAAAAAGGGAGAGAGAAGGGAAGAAAAGGAGAGGGACGCAAACTTTGGGCGCCTTCGAGGGGAGCGGGTGTAAATGGCCCCCAACTCACCAGGCAGTTTTCAGTGCTGAAATTCGTTCAGAGGATTTGCGCCGGAGACGAGGAAAATAGTACCGAGATACGGGAATCATCCTGGGTTCTGAATAAAAGTGTCCACATATACACGCTTTTTTCCCCCCTTTTCTTCTTTGATGTAACGGAAGCATCACATTTTTTGTGTACCTTCGATACTTTTTGGTGAGGGAAAGTTAAATGATACTAATCTCGTCCTCTCCCATGATGGTGTCTACACGAAAAACTACATTAATAAGGCGTTTATGAAATTATAATATTTAGACAGAAGGCTAAGAAAAGTCAGTTTAAGAATATCGCCTTCCATATTTTCGTTAAGTATGTGTATTTTGGAGAAATTTTTAAAATAAGCTCTTTGGCCAAAGGAAATTGGTTATAAAATGAAAGGTCATTCTTCTGAGAATTGGAAACAACCTAATTGGAGATCATTTTTCAAGGATGTGGAACAATGTTTCCCCCCCCAAGCAGGCACCTTTTAACTCTCTCTCTCTCTCTCTCTCTCTCTCTCTCTCTCTCTATGCAAAATTTTATCTGTTCCTAGGACAAACTGAGTGTGGTCATCACTTTAGGTTCAATAGAGAATTTTTATTTTTAGCTCTGAAACTGACGTTAAAATCACTGTTCCTTTTTTTTCTATTTAACTTCACCTGACAAAGTTTTCTAGTGGTTTTAGAATTGTAACATTCATGGCAGGTTACACAGTTTTTATTATGTAAGTCTTATAATAAGTTTAAATAAACCATTGGAGACAAAGGTAACATCGTACTGTGAAATATGAGCTCTTCCTTTTTGTTGAGCATATACTGCATTAGGTACAGATGCTGCAGAGTTGGGTCATTTACTATTAAAAAACTTGCCTTTGGGGGCGCCTGGGTGGCTTAGTCGGTTAAGCGTCCGACTTTCGCTTAGGTCATGATCTCACAGTTCGTTGGTTCGAGCCCCGCGTCGGGCTCTGCGCTGACTGCCAGCTCAGAGCCTGGAGCCTGTTTCAGTCTGTGACTCCCTCTCTCTCTGACCCTCCCCTGCTCGCGCTGTCTCTCTCTCTGTCTCCTAGAAATAAATAAAACATTAAAAAAAAAAATATTTAAAAAATAAAAATAAAAAACTTGCCTTTGGGGTATCAGTGTTGATTATCCCCATCTTACAGATGAGGCAACTGAAGACAGGATTTGTATTAACCCCAGAGAAAGTGACAGAAGATTTGGAACTAAGACGTTTCAGACTCCAAAGCTTGTGGCCTTAATTATTAGAGCCTTATCTTTAAAGTTATGCGACTGTGAGGAGTGTGTAAAGGTTTAACATCAAGTCTTGTATTCTTTTTATGTTTGTTTCAGATGATGACAATTCCGAAGAAGGCTTCAACACTATTCATTCAGGAAGGCATGAATATGCATTCAGCTTCGAGCTTCCACAGACGTAAGTATTATAAGTAACAGGCATTCTTCTTAAACCTCCATTCTTTTAAAATTAAAATTATTCTAAATTTAAATATATTTAGTTAAAAAAAAAAACCCTTTTCATTATTGAATGTTGCTAGAGGAAAACAATGCACTGAAAGAAGTAGCTACTTTTTTATCTAGCCTGGCAAAATTATAGAAAGCAAAGCTCAATTCTTAGTCTCAAGATCTTTAAAGGGGTTTTTAAAACTTGAATAGTATTTCACTTAACGTGAGTGAATTAGAAGATTCTATTCAAGTAGTAAGCATTTTATAAGTACTTTATCATCAGTTGGCATTAACAGAAACATAAAACATCAGGTCTTCTTTGCTAATGCTAACCAACAGCACTAAGCTTAAAAAATAAAAATAATTAGGAATGTCTTAACTTTAGAAGTGATGTTCTTTTAATGTGAATTCAGTGGCTTCTGTGCAAAGAGCTAATTGAAAAGGTCACACAAGAGATACTATATGACCTGGACTTAAATGAAGCATCCATCCTACACCTAAACATAAGGCTTGGAATATAGTATGGAAGAAGAAAAGAAAGTGGTTTATTCTTTTTTTTTTGTTTGTTTTTTTTTTATTTTTTTATTTCAAGGAGAGAGAGAGAGACAGCGTGAGCAGGGGAGGGCCAGAGAGAGAGGGAGATACAGACTCTGAAACAGGCTCCAGGCTCTGAGCTGGCAGTCAGCACAGAGCCCGACGCAGGGCTCGAACACACAAACCGTGAGATCATGACCTAAGCGAAAGTCGGACGCTTAACCGACTAAGCCACCCAGGCGCCCCTGAAAGTGGTTTATTCTTAATGTAAAAATAAGTTGTTAAAAAAGATTGTACTCCCCCCAATTTTTCAATATCTTTGATAATTCTAGTATTGGAGTTCTATGTGAGTAGAGTTCATAGGTGCTATTTTTCAGAAATCTACCAACTAAGATCATCTGATTTTTTTTAACGTGTATTTATGTATTTTGAGAGAGAGAGAGGGAGAGTGAATCCAAAGCTGTCCGCGCAGAGCCGGATATGGGGCTCAGTCCCACAAACCGTGAGGTCATGACCTGCGCAGAAACTGAGAGTCAGATGTTTGAGCCACCCAGGCGCCTCAAGCAAGGTTATTTAAAATAAACTCTGGAAGACTAACATAAACACTGCATTTTATTTTTCTGTGCTATGGACATTAATACAAGGGTCTAAAATGCAAAAATACCTGTGAAAACACTACTTCTCATCCTATTCTAAGTTAGCATCTTACCTGTACATAACTGAACCCTGGGCATTTGTCTCAGGAAATCATGAAAGAAAAGGAAAAAAAAAAAAAAAAACAAAGGAATTAAAACCTTCTACAATTAATAAAATTTGGGAGAACTGAAAACCACTTCTGATTATCTTGATACAGATAAATAGAAATGTTTGTTTTTCTTATTAAGCCAATAAAGTTAGAAAACTTGGCAAAAAAGAGTTAGAACATGAGTAAACTAGGACATGGAAAAGCAGCTTTTTAGAGTTTCAGTAGACACCAAAATATGAAAAAATTTTGAAATTATAACAAATGGTCTAGGCCTTTTCTAGAACTTCTTAATTAGTTACTACAAAAAGAGATAATTGCTAGCCAGTGTGTGGAATTTCTCAATAGAAATACTTAAACCATTCTTAACTTCATTTTTAAATTAAAACTTTTAACCTTCCAAAAATTGTTCATTGCCAAACTTTCATAATTTTGCCACCAGCATTAAAGGTAGCTTCTTCTTAGTTTAAAGGGATTGTATTCTTCTGGCTTTTTAAAGCAAAATTACTGTAATATTAACTATCAGCTGTTGTTATTTGGAAAACAGAAGGTTCCCCCCCCATGACTCATCCCTTTGGAAATTAAAAAAAAAAAAAAAATCTACGTTTGATACCTCACTGATATATAAACAGTGCCCTATAATAACACTTCTATATGCTGACCTGGTATATAATTATTAAAAAGAGGTATAGAATTAATATATTGAACTTTATATTCTGCGCAGACCACTTGCTACCTCATTCGAAGGCCGACATGGCAGTGTGCGCTATTGGGTGAAAGCCGAATTGCACAGGCCTTGGCTTCTACCAGTAAAATTAAAGAAGGAATTTACAGTCTTTGAGCATATAGATATCAACACTCCTTCATTACTGGTAAGAGTTGACTGAATTCTTCATTCTTGTTTTCAGCATATAAATACTAAAGAATAATCACCTAAACTATGTAACATGTATAATTTTTAAATCGTGATTTACTTTAAAATTTATAAATATTAATCTATGTTTTTAGTATCTTAAAAATCCAGTCAAGAGCACACAAATTAGTGAAAAATAATGCTCATATTTTCTAATATTGTGATAACTTCAAGTAAATTTCAAAAGAACATATGGTATGAAATAACTCTTACTCTAAAGATAACAATAACAAAAAATAGATCTGTTCCTTGGATAATTTTAGTGAAAGAGGAACAGTAGTATCAATTATTATAAGACCATGTCACTTATGAAAAGATCATAATCTAAAATTTGCATTGCATTCTTCCAACATAGGGATAGTTGTCAAATGATGGGGAGATTGTCACTTTCGTGAAAAAACAATTCCCTTTTAAAAGCAACCCTTTTTAATTGCATTTTTCCACAAGATTCAAATTTTACTTTAAAAACTATGTGGTTTAAACAAATGATAACATCTTTAAACAAATAACATTAAAAATCAGAGTGTTCCTTTTTTCACATAACTGTTACATTCTTAAAAAAAGAAGTTAACATTTGGGATTATAACCAAATTGCTTCCTAAGCTGCCTTTTTTTTTTTAAAGGCAATTTAAGTGGAATGTGGAAAGGGTTTTTTTGTTTGTTTGGTTGGTTGGTTTTTAATTACTGTATATGTAAAACTGTGTTTATGGAATATGATGTTAAGCCTTGTAGCCTTTTTTTACTTGAATGGAAATTTATATAAAGACAAAAATAGTTGTATAATTCAGGAGCCATCAGGTTTTTTTGAAGTACATTTGGATATACTTAGAAAAACAACACTGCTTTTAATTTTAATTCTCCAAGAATTTGGGACCTTTATATTAAAATATTCCATTACTATCGCAATTCCATGCATTGATCTTTTTCTCTAAATTTCTTTCTTACAGTCACCCCAAGCAGGCACGAAAGAAAAGACTCTCTGTTGCTGGTTCTGTACCTCAGGCCCAATATCCTTAAGTGCCAAAATTGAAAGGAAGGGCTATACCCCAGGTACGTATGAGATGGATTCCCAAAGAAAATGATCCTTCTTCATGTAGCTTTTATGTATAAATATATGGAATTTCTCTAAATGCAAACATAATGTAGTATTTGGTAAAATAAACCAGTTTTCTTTCATAAATTGGAATGTAGTGTCCATTTTTAAATAGCACTGTAAATGAGCAGTTCCTTTTTATAATTCTAAGGTATTTGCCACTTTTGGGACAGTTTTTTATCCATGTAGTCCATTGAACTTACAGACTGGGGGGTTAAGAATCTACATTTTTTTGGGTTTGTTTTGTTCTGTTTTTTGTTTGTTTGTTTGTTTTTTAACAGTAGATACATATTTTTTTCCTCTAGGTGAATCAATTCAGATATTTGCTGAGATTGAAAACTGCTCTTCCCGAATGGTAGTGCCAAAGGCAGCCATTTACCAAACACAGGCCTTCTATGCCAAAGGGAAAATGAAGGAAGTAAAACAACTTGTGGCTAACTTGCGTGGGGAATCCTTATCCTCTGGAAAGACAGATACCTGGAATGGAAAGTTGCTGAAAATTCCACCAGTTTCTCCCTCTATCCTTGACTGTAGCATAATTCGTGTGGAATATTCATTAATGGTATGTATAGATTTAAGGATTTGTTGTTTCGTAATGAAGTCATGAGAATATCATTTTGTCTTATATCCAGGATTTGATTTTTATATTCCATATATGATATATACAAATATATATAAGCCCTAAATTTGAATTATTAATAATTTGACCTTATTTGGAAATGTAGTATACCGTAGTACACACAGAGAAATTTTTCTTGTATATTCTATGTATATGTAAGTAAGAAACAAAGTAAATGAAAGCCTCAAATAACATTAAAATCGAGTTTTAGTTTTTAATAAGAAATAATACTTGGAATTCTAAACCTAACCTCTTCTTTCAATGTTTAGGTATATGTGGATATTCCTGGAGCTATGGACTTATTTCTTAATTTGCCACTTGTCATTGGTACCATTCCTCTACATCCATTTGGTAGCAGAACCTCAAGTGTAAGCAGTCAGTGTAGCATGAATATGAACTGGCTTGGTTTATCCCTACCTGAAAGACCTGAAGGTAATTTGATATAATGCATGTTTAAGCTTAGTCTCTTATTATTATTTACAAGAACAAAATGTTGCTTCTAATATTTTATAATTAGATATAATTATATAATTAGATATAATTAGACAAAAACTTTTGTCTATACCTGCAGAGAGTTGATGTGTCCCTAATGTTAGATTTAAAACATATATCCCCCTAGATTTGATCACAAAACAAAAAAATATTATTTTTATCTTGACATTCTTTTTTAATATATACTATTCTGTGTATTTTGACATGCATAAGAACATGCTGTTCGAATTGCGTGTATCTTTTTCCTTCAGCACCACCCAGCTATGCAGAAGTGGTTACAGAGGAACAAAGGCGGAACAATCTTGCACCAGTGAGTGCTTGTGATGACTTTGAGAGAGCACTTCAAGGACCACTGTTTGCATATATCCAGGAGTTTCGGTTCTTGCCTCCACCTCTTTATTCAGAGGTAAGCATTAGCTCCTCAAGTAAGAAGTAAGCTAGCTCTCTTGGAAAATACCATTGCAGACTTCTTTAAAAATAAAGTTCAGTTTTGATTATCATCATATTAGTAGAAAAACAGATAATTTAAAACATAATTAAACATTAAATTATGGTTGTCCAGATTTAGTAAGTTTCATTCTTAAATTTAGTAAGTAGGACTCATATTATTGAGGAAATAAGGATACTGATCCAGTCTCATGCTCAAAGAATATCAGTTAAAGGAGTAATTCATTTTTTGAAGTTTATTTGTATTTATTTGAGAGAGAGAGAGAGAGAGAGAGCACAAGCACAGTCCGGGAAGGGGCAGAGAGAGAGGGACAAAGAGAATACCAAGCAGGTTCCACACTGTCAGTGCAGAGCCTGATGTGGGGCGTGAACTCACAAACGATAACATCATGAACTGAGCCAAAATTAAGAGATGGATGCTCAATAGGCTGAACCATCCAGGCGCCAACAGAAGTGGCATTTCGCAAGCATAAATTAATTTAGTAGCTGGAATTTCTTATTCATCATCCTTTTCCAATTTAATTTTTGCATACTTTACCAGTCATAGGGGAAAAGAACATATTTGCCAAAAAAAACAACAACAACAACAACAAAAAAAACCATGATAACGTTAGACAAACAACATTTCTACAGTTTGATTATTTTTATTCATCTCTGATTGGTGACCACTAAGCACTTAGGTGAATAAAACATGGCCCTTACTTGGGAGAAGCTCACAGACTGATGAGAACAAATTTAGAGGTGAAATATTCCATAATTGATAGAAATGCATGCAGTTCATTTGAGGAACAGCTCATTAGGACTTGGGAATCAGGAAAGCCTTCCCTGAGAAGGTGATTGATAAGTCAAATCTTCCAATAAGTACTCCTCAAAAAGTTATATAATCCAGGCAGAAAAACAGCATGTGGAAGGCAAGGAGGTAGGATAGAAATCAAGCAATTTTGGGATACTTCAGAATACATCTTAATATGTGTTTGAAGGGCTTTAAAGTTGGCCTTGATACCAATATAATACCAAATAGTTTTATAAATCACTAGAATCAACCTGATCCTTTTTGTTATCATAGTTCAGCAATTTTACTATGTACTATTACTCTCACGTAAGGCATAAATGGGATTGTTTTACTCTGTAAGAAATTGCTTCTTTTCCTCAACATCATTGCTAGATGAGTGCATTTTCCTTTGGATGTGGTTAGTAGGAGAGCCACTTTACTCACTGAAATATACAATATTTAGAATTTGTTCTTATAAATTCTTGATTAGACATGTTTTTTATTCTATTTCATAAAATTTTCCCTTAGAATGTTAAACATGTTCTCCCACTTACAGATTTTATTACTACATTTTTACACTGATGTTTCTGTCTTGAGTCAGTCATTTCTATTTGATCAGAGCTTTCTGGCTATATAACAGGCATGTTAAAAGAATGACAATCTAAGCAAATTGTGTGTCCTTCTTTTAAAGTGAACTAAGATAAGGGAATTAAACACTTTTAAAATTCTATGTCCTTCTTTTAAAGTGAACTAAGATAAGGAAATTATACACTTTTAAAACCCTAAGTTGTTTCAGAGTGTGATTTAATTAACAGTCATATGGGGGGAGGAGTTCTAGATTGTATTACAGTGATTTTTTTTTTTCTCTTTTAAGTCATTAAAAGGTAGATGCTTTTTTTCCCCAAAACCATGTTTTACCTAAAGTTTATGAGGCACTTGAGATTGTGCCACATTTAAATGCAAGTAAAAATGGGTCTTGCCCAAAAGATGTCTCCCAAAAAGGAGTGCATTAAAGCCAGCTATTTGCCTTCCTGTGTCCAGTCTCTTTGTACCTGGGAAGTAACTGAAGTATATTCACTTTGCTTAAATGTATGTGCATAATGAAAGTCAGTGTAGAAATAAAGAAGGTGGGAAGACTGTAGAGCATTTTGGGTTCAGCACTGTTATTTCTTAATATACACTATTTTTCTAGGTCCTCTGGGATTTTACGTTCACAGGTTATTACCTCACATAAGCACGAAGAATATTGTTCACACAACTGCATTTTTCCCAAAGCCCAGAAAAGAGACAAGTTGACTTTTTTGTAAAAGGATAAAAGGGATACTTTACAAAAGGAGATCATCTCTATGAAGATGTTCTCTATTGTGCATTTGGTTTTTCAGTCCTACTGAGTGCTGAGTAAAACACCATTCCCTGATAAAATTTCACCATTAGCTTTTGGAAAAGAGAACTACTTGGGCATACCTTTATAAATGTTATTATTAACCTAGTAATTAAATATAAGACACTTTATAAATAATACTAGTATTCTTTTCTCCCTTACCTGCCGTGTATGTTCTTTCTGATTAAATTCTTCAGTGGTACTCAAAATGTTAGTCATCAGCTACATCTTTACTAGACTTTATCAAATAACTATATTTTTTTTTCACTTTTCTTTTTAGATTGATCCAAATCCTGATCAGTCAGCAGATGATAGACCATCCTGCCCCTCTCGTTGAAGGAATACTTCATTAGATCAACTTGATGTGGGTCCCGAACTGTATCTCTTCCCAGCTGAGGACAGAGAAGTATCTTGGAGACACGTTTTCAGAGGAAGTGGAATTGCTTTTGCCCAGAAAAATGGCAGATACATGAAACAACCAGTGGTCATGCTTTAGAAGCCTACAGCAACATTCTGGGACTGCTCCAACATGCTTGAAGATCTAAGCTTTTCTCCTTTAAAACAGGCACATATTAAGAGCAGTCTTCTTAGCCTATGGTCATACGTGTCAAGACACCACGTTGTAAAGAGGGATGATTTCCTTCTTTTGATTTGAAAATTTGCACATGCTCAATGCTTACATTGTGCAGTTCCGATGTCACTACAGCTTTTTTTTTTCCATTTATGCCAGACTCTTGATACTCTTTAAAAACTTGTTTGCGGTCAGCACAACAAGGAACAAAAGAAAGCTTTGAAAAAACTTTAACATGAGAAAAACGCACTGACTTTTTTTTTTTTAATTTAATATAGCCTGGACTTTACCTGCGTATGCACATGCTCAGAAATGTCCTACTAGGCTGACCATGTATCACCTCTTCAGCTTGGATCCTATTGTGGATTTATTTACAAACATCAAATGCCTTCAAGCCAATCCTTCTTGCTGTATGTTTTGCAGCCTACTGTAGTAGATACGCAACAGAAATGTGGGAAAAGAGATAAGAGGAGGAAGCTAATAAGAGACTTTGTCAAGATTGTATACCTTCTTGGTTTCTTTTAAGAATTTGTTGCCTTTCTACTATTACAGCAAAGCAGCATTTTGTTACTGACTGCCTAAAATCACTTAATCTCAGGTGAACGCATCACTTGCCAAACTGTTGGAATGCTATTTGTGTTTTGTTGCACTGTTATATTTTTGTTTGTTTGGTTGGCTTTTTGGAGAGGGAAATTTGGAAAAGGGACATACACAAAAGTGATAACCCACCCACATTCCCTTTTTATCATTACATATAAGAAGAAACTAGCAGAGCTAAGAATGGAGTAAAGAAAGGCAGTATGGCAGGCACCAGCAAAGAGTTAAGGGCTTGTTGCTCTTAAAAATTATTGTTATTTTTATTATTTTAAGAGTATGAAAATTTTCCAGTCACTGGCGAGGAGGAGAAAGTGCATTTATTTTTGTATGGAGTTACTTAATTACCTCCAAAACACATATGTTGGAAATCATTTTTGCTGGTGCGGAGTATTTTAATGAGCAGGAATATATATATTCAGGTTACTATTAGAGAGCTCAATTTATACATTTCCTGTCCTGCTCAAGCTTCTCAGAGCTTGAAAACCCAAGTTTATTCTAAAAGTGCATAACTTCAAAATTACAAAATACTAGAATATGTGCTGAAATGATAACTGTTTTATATTTCTGTGGTTTTTTTTTATCAAAGTATTTTTTCCATTACCTAAAGAACATTTTGCTAAACATGAGAAATGACTCACTTTGAGTATATATAGATAAGAAGAGGAACCACCTCAGTAAATTATAGTTTATATTAAAGATAATTTACAGTTGGCTCATAACAGATATACCAGCATTCATGATGACACTTAAAAACTGCATTTTCCAAGGTACCAAGTATACTGATTGTCTTAGGGAATTCAGTTCTGATGGTTTTAATGAAAATCAGCATCTCTGATATTACAACATACGTGTAAAATGGGTGTTACATCTATCCTGCCATTTAACCCCACAGTTAATAAAGTGGCTGAAAATAGTAGTAACTCTGGCTTGGTGCTTGACCTGGTTAAATACTGTCTTAAAGCTTCATACAAAACAAATAGGCTTTTCCATAAGTGGCCTTTAAGAAAACATGGAAGACAATTCATGTTTGAAAAATGCTGACAGGGTGAAGAAAGCCCAGCGTAAAAATGAATCGCGTTTTAGGTGATTCAGTAAAGGGTTTGGGCTCCCGTAGCAAACTAATACTAGATAATAAGGAAATGGGGGTGAAATATTTTTTTATTGTTGTTAAATCATTTTGTGAATGTCCCCCTCAAAAGAAGCTAATGGAATATTTGGCATAAAGGGCATTTGGTGGTTTTATTTTTGTTTGGGGGGGGGGGATTGTCTGAAAATCCCTTTTCTTTTTTCTTTTATGTCTGACTAGGGAACAATTGTTGATATGCATAGCATTGGAATACTTATCACCATATACTCTTACAAATAACACATGAAACAAGAATGACCAATATTCTGATAATTGGCACTGGGTCACAGAATACAATGTGATTAAATTTTGACTCTATAAAACTTTATCAAATAAAGTTTTATTTTCCCCATTAAAGTATTTCTTTACTTTCTTATTTAGAGGCATTACTTTACTCTTTTCTAAATATTGGTCAATTCCTGACATAAGATGTGAGGTTCACAGTTGTATTCCAGTATTCAAGATAGATTCCTGATTTTTCAATTAGGAAAAGTAAAATCCAAAATGTTAGCAAAACAAAGTGCAATATTAAATGTTTGCTTTATAGATTATATTCTATGGCTGTTTGTAATTTCCCTTTTTTCCCCGTTTTATTTGGTGCTGAATATGTCCTTGTAGGCTCTGTTTTAAGAAAACAATATGTGGGAAATGATTTAATTTTTCCTATTGCTCTTCCTTGTGGAAAATAAAGTGTTTTGTTTTTTTCTTTTTTGTAAAATTGTTTGGAGATTTATTTGAATCCTAATCATGTTAGTAATTTGTCATACTTGCAAACACTATTAAGACTACAATTAAACCCTGTTTTAAGCCATGCTGGATAAGAACTGTTTCTAGATATCAAGGAATATCACTGAAGAGTTAAAGGAATTTTTAATACTATTTATCACTGTTTGCCTTAATAATTCACCAAGATATACGTAAGTTCATTAAGTAATTTCCAGTCCTCTATATGAACCAAATTTAACCAGGTAAGATAGTTTCACTTTCAGGTACCAATGCCTTTATGCTGTGAAGTATCCCAAGTTTCTAGTACTATCAAGAGCACTTAAATTTAAAAGGTGTATTAACTAACCTCACAAAAATATTTTTTCTAAATTTTAAAAGAGCAGTAAGCTTTTTCTAAAAGACTGAATTTTACAGTGATTCATAACTTTATAATTTGGTGATCATATTTAGGGTAAAATATTTCAGTGTTTATATATTCATAGATTAGCTATCAAGTTGTATATGCACATTACATATAAGATTGTCCCATACTTGAAAATGTATATATACATTAGTGTGTTACAAAGAAACATTTAGACATTCTACATTTATAATCAGTTTTAGGGAAATTAGAGCAAGGGGCTCTAGATGACTCAGTCGGCTAAGTATCGTACTCTTGATTTCAGCTCAGGTCATGATCTCATGGTTTCTGGGATCAAGCCCTAAGGCTCTACACTGACATTGTGGAACCTGCTTGGGATTCTCTCTCTCCCTCTCTTTCTGCCCCTCCGTGTGCTCTCTCAAATAAACATTTTTTAAAAATCTACACAATGTCTAGACAATAAAGAATAAAGATGACTAAGGAATGAGGAATAACATGAAAAGGAGAGACCTAGGTTTTGGGTTCTGTAACTTTAGATGTAGCCTTGTACAGGATCTGTGAATTTTGAGGTGTTCATCCACAAAGTAGAAAAGTAGCTATCCAAATTCCCTTTCATCACTGAAGGCACAAGGTTATAATATATATTTTTAGGTAAAGGAATAATGCTCAAATCCATTATAACATTGGAAATTAATCCCGTTGCTTCTAAATTTATGTTAGAATACTTTTAGACTGAGTTAAGCACATGTCTCAAGTTATATACAATTAATTGACAGTTACTTAGCTTTGCTTTTGCATTGCCATCTATACTCAACCAAACTCTATCACTAATTAGGATTTATTGAATGGCCAAGCTCAGTATATTTATCAGGATTTTTTTATTGTAACAGAGAAACTCAGACTAGCTTAAGTAAAACAAACAAAAAAACCCCCCAAAAAACCCAAAACTGTATTAACCAGTAATTCTAAGGATGAACTATATTAAGCACATTTGGATCCAGAAATCCAAATAATGCTCTGGAGACACACTCTTGTCTCTCATCTCTGTTAACTTACCGTTTTTCATATTAGCCTTATACTTTCATTTTAGATAGGCCAGGAAAGATGAGCCAAGCTTCTATATCTCCTGGAAGAAAAGCCATCCAGACTCTCCAAATCCCTTGTTAGAGAAGATTCTGATTGGCCAATATCTGGGTTATGTCTCACGCCATATAGAATGGGTTTCCCAATAGAAAGAAATCTGTTTCCATAAGAAGGGAGAAAAGAGGTTACTTATTCGTGCTACTTCAAGTGTTGTCCAAACCAGCAGCAATGGCATCACCTGGGAGTTCATTAGAAAAGCAGAATATCAAGGTCTACCCCAGAATACCCACAATTCCTGTTTACATGGTTCCCAGGTAATTTGTAAGTACAGTAAAATTTAGGAAGCATAGCACACCAAAGAGATAAAGACAAAACAGGCAACTTTGTTTTCAGAAGTCCTAAGCTGTAACTGAGCTGAGGATTTTGGAGTACTTGATAAGTGAAAAATAATTATGGCATTTTAAATCTCAAAGCCTGTTTATGGCTTGATATTTTTGATATAAAATTTTACTATAATAATTGATAGCAATTATTATACCTTCAGAATTCCTATATCAACAACCAGCATTTCTCAAAATATCCATGTCTGAATGATAAAACATTTTGCCTTTTTGTTTCTTGATTTCAAAATCAACAGGAGATGCATTTTTCAATACATGAGAGAAAAACTTACTGATAAAATTAATTTGACTTTTGAGGAATATAGTCTAAACAACCAGAAACTGTTGTGCTAAATACATGAATATGAAAAGATCACTTCAAATCAAAGACAATTAGTAGTTTAGAAAGCCAAACATACCAGCCCAGCTGGAAATAGAACCAGTTTCACTGTCTTTATTGAATAGCACAAAATTAACATATAAGGACAAGAATATATTATTTTCAAACCAGCTTCACAGACACTAACTTTGGCAAATGGTGTTAAGATATTATAAAGCCAAAGAGGGGGGATAATGTTGCTTTAGAATAGGTTCCAGCATTTATATGTTAAGATATATAGCCTAATGTGATTCAAGAAAACAAGTTCATAACATACTAGGAATTTCTGATACATTGTAGCTAACTCTAAGTGGAAATGGATTTTCCTAGTTCTAAATTCAAGACTTACATAAGTTCTCAACATCAATTTCCAATCCAAACAAAATGATTATTACTTCTGGTAATGGTAGGTCTCTGGGAATACTAATAAAGTTAAAATGGTGTATTAAAACATCTTTGTATAATTTAGAAATCTACTTACTAGTTACACAAAACAGTCTTACCAGTGAACAGAAGAATGTGAAAGATTAAAATATATTGTTTTAAAATGATAAATCTAGAGGCACCTGAGTGGCTCAGTTGGTTAAGTGTCCCACTTCAGCTCAGGTCATGATCTCGCAGTTTGTGAGTTTGAGCCCCACGTCGGGCTCTGTGCTGACAGCTCAGAGCCTAGAACCTGCTTCAGATTCTGTGTCTCCCTCTCTCTCTGACCCTTCCCTGCTTATACTCTGTTTCTCTGCCTCTCTCAAAAAAAAAAATAAATATTTTTTAAAAATGATAAATCTAACAGTTTCTTCTAACAACTGATGAAAGTCAAGTCATTACATTGTTATTACTTTAGATGACATGAATTTTTGCCAAAGGAAAAGCCATCTGATCCTTACTGAATATAGGAATTTATACATGTTAGATCATTTTTCTTTAATGAATTAATAGTGTAACTAATAATAGAAATGCAAAAACTTGTTAAAATAAGCATCTAGTTTCTGTTTTGGTTTTGTTTTTGTCTTTGTTTTTTTAGGGAAATCAGCATTTCCACCTTCTAGTGCAAGGCACATTTTTGTAATGTACACATCTTAATAGCTCTGAATCCCAAAAGGTAGTACTCAAGATGTTTAGATCAATAGGAAAATAACAGGAAACTAAGATATAACACATGCATCATATAAACAAACAGAATGCTAGCAGCCTATAAAGGCGTATCCAGAGCCCACAACAACAAAATTGCCCATGCATTCTTCTCCAAATTGTTAATTCCAAAATTAAAAAAACAAAGGAAAAAAAAAGTTCACTTCACTTACTGTTATTCCTCCTATGAGGAGAGAGTCAACTTTAGAAAACCCTTGTGAGGAAAGAGCCATAAGAGTGCATGCTGTGTAGAGAAGTAGTGGACAAATGCCTCAGACTGGTCAGCTTTTATGAGTGCCTTGAGCAGACTGGCCAGGGAAGCCCAATAAATTCCTTCATTACATTATCCTCTGTATTAGTGTCCTACTGGCTGCCTTAACAAAGTAGGAGAGTTAAGCACTCTTTTTTAACTCTCTTCAAACCAAGAGAGTTAAAACAACTAACATTTGGGGTTTCTGGTTTAAGCGTCTGACTTTGGCTCAGGTCATGATCTCACGGTTTGTGAGTTCAAGCCCCACGTCGGGCTTTCTGCTGTCAGCACAGAGCCTGCTTTGGATCCTCTAACATGCCCTCCTGCCCCCCACTGCCCTCCCCTGCTTGTGTTCTCTCTGTCTCTCTCAAAAATAAAATAAATATAAAAAATTTAAACAAACCTAAAATTTATTCTCTCACAGTTCTGGCAGCTAGAAGTCCAAAATCATGGCAGGGCCATGTGCCTTCTCAAGTCTGGAGAGGTAGAGCTTTCCTTCCTCTTCATGCTTCTGGTAGTGTCGCGCAGTCCTTGGCAGTCCCTGGCTTATACATATATCCCTGGAATCTTTACCTTTTTACATAATGGTCATCTTCTCCCACTGTATCTCTGTCTCTTCTGGCTCTCTCCTCTAAGTCTCTCCTCTCCTTATACAAGACATAGTCATACTGGATTAAGGGCCCACCCTACTCCAGTATGACCTTATATTAACTAATTATATCTGCAATGATCCTGTTCCAAATAAAGTCATGTTCTGAGGTATTGGGGATTAGAGCTTCAATTTATCTTTTTGGTAGATGTAATTGAACCCAAAACAACTTCCTTTCCTCCTAAAAAGGAAACATGATAACAATGTGGTACCTATAAGGTACCTATTTAGAGGAAATACAGTTAGCTATCATTCCTCACTTTACAGAGCAGATTTAGCCTTGCACTGTAAAACCACTATAGATCAAAGGAAATATTCCCTCCCCCTCCCCTTTTTTCCTTGGTGCGATACTGTAGTGGGTGAGCACTCATCTGGGAGACAAGGAACCTAAGTTCTGGTCC